GCTTGTAAAAGGATTAAATTTGCTCAACAGCAAACTCAGCAGCTACCCACAGGGCAACCGCTGGCTGCGAGTGACCAGAGAGGGGCATTAGCCATGGTGGCCCCCGGGGCTCCTTGAGGTCAGTACTGGTGACGTGTCTGTGGTCAGATCATTCTGTTGGGGGGGCTACCCCGTGCACTGCTGGGGGTTTAGCAGCACCCTGACCTCTTCCCACGATGCCAGCACACCCGCTAGCCAAGAAGCACTGGGTGGGATCAAGGGGAACTGGAGTTGGGGAGAGGGGGGCAAACGCCGGCTTTGCAGACCCAGAAGCGCGTCCAAGGGGCCCTGGGGAGGGTGCTAGAGCCGGTGTGTGACTCCCAGTGGACACTGGCGCTCACAGGTGTGGGGGTCCTGGGCGAGGGGGGGTCTGTTGCCTTGTTGCTCCACGGGGGGTGAGGGGTTGGGGGGCAGTGTGGGGCCTCCTCTGTGCCCTCCTCCAGACCTCTGCCTGCCCTGACGCTCCTGCTGCAATCAGCTACTTCTCTTCCCAGCTTCATCTGGCTCCTACTTATTGTTTTCTCCTCGAAGTATTCTCAGACACCCTCCCTGCAGCCCCCCCACGGCTCGGGTGTCCTAGCGGGGGCCTGGCGTCCACCCCAGCCGAGAACAGAGCACCCCTCATGCACACACATGGATGTAAATGCGTAGTCTGGCTTTCTGCTTGCTCCTTCCACAGGCCACGGCCACCGGCTGGGCTGCGCTCTCCCGGGACCTGACCGGAGGTCCCATGTTGGGGGGCCCTCCCCCCACCCCTAAGGAGAAAACCTGTGCAGAATTGACGGCGTAAATCACGTTCAACTGGCTGGCAGAGACGACCAATCGGCAGGGCGCCTGAACACATGTGAGCATGTCAGGGTGGCCAACAGAGCTTCAGGGGTACTGTGGGTCCCCTCCACCCACCCAGGCCGAGAGTGGGGCGTGCAAGGCCGAAACGGGAGCGCCAGCGCCTGGACGATGTGGGCGGCCCATCTTCACCCACATTAATTTGGGGATGTTCGACAGACCCTTATTACGTGTTTCAGAAAAACGAGCCGCACCCCGGACCCAGCCGCACACCCCTCCGGCTCGGTAACTCGCCGAGGGCCGGTGCGATCATCCCCGCTACGCTGCGTGGCCGCTCCAGGCTTCTGACCCGTTCGGTGACGGGCAGCGCTTCGCCTGTCGGCCGCCGGGGAGGCCGGTGGCAAGGCGACCGGGCCGCCGCTCCAGCGAAGACGCGGGATGTGCTGAGGTCCGGCTCGCACGCGCCCCACCGCCCGCCGGGCGGCGGCCCCGGGGCCTCGTCCCCCGTGACCACTGCCAGGCCCCAACAGCAAGTACACAGACACTTCCGTCTAACTTTCATATGAAGAATTTAATTATCTACACACGTGACTAATCCAAACGGTGGCGTTACAGTTGTTAAAGCCGCAGGTCGGCGTGCTGATATATTGTACATTCGTACCCATGAGAACACTGACGCGCCCGCCCGCGCTGCCCAGAGTCCGCCCGCCGCCAGCACCGGCTGCCCAGCACCGGCAGCCGCGGAGAGGGAGGAGGCGGGAGGGAGGAAGCGCGGGGTGGGCGTCACCAGTACAACTGCGAGGCCGAGGCTTCCCCCCTCAGCCCGCGCGCCGGCTGTCAGCAAGGGCGTCTTTATTGAGTGATTCCAACTAGTGTTTAAAAGACAGACATGGCTACAACGACACAGCTAAGACATACACAGCCCGCGAGCTCCGTTTCATAGCAATCTGTAGAAATTCCACAGTCTAGTTAAAAAATGTAAACATTGGAAATTAATTGCAGGGGGATTTCTATACATTCTTTGTCAAGAAAATCACTTGTTCAAAACATGTCATTCCGTGAGAAGTAACCGCAATGAAACTTGGTGTAACAGAGACGAGAGAGACCGCGGCCGTCGCCGGGCGTGACCGCGGCGGCTACTGAGAGGTGGTGGGAACAGACGCGAAATTAAAACCCCCAAACCAAACACCAACTCGGCCAGATAAATCTGAGACTGAACAGAAACACAGCCGCTCGCCCACACGGCTGCAAGGTCACCGTGCAAAATACAGGGGCGGGGTCGGAGCGCGCCCAGGTAACAGCTTCCGCGGGGCACCAGCTTCTGGTGCACAGGTGTGTGACTGCATGCTCGGCAGGGCCAGCTCATACCACACGCACAAAACACCTTCGTTTAATCGGGCTCGTTCTACAGTCTTTGAACAGACTCACTGAACGCCTCTGTGCTCTACAGCGGGGCGGGAAACCCAGACTACACAGTTTAGTTGGTACCACTGGACAAAGTGAAAAAAGTACATCGAGTCTCAGATTTATGGACATTTGGAACATTTTTTTTTAATAGCACATGCAGCATTCCTTGATAGTGGGTCTTTTTGCAAAACCAAAATAGCAAAGAAGTAATTTATTCATTTTTTTATTAAAAGGCTAAAAAATATATATATATATTTAAAAATAATTTTAAAACTATTGAAAGCACCTGTGCAAAGGTGGGGGAAGTCAATTGAGTCGCCAGGAAAGCCACAAAAGGACCCACTACCCTGTGTGTTTTTGTAATTTTTGCTTCTATCTCTGCAAGTAGTAACTCGACATCGCCATCACATGCGACTAAGGTCAAATGAGGTAAACTGCTCTGCAGCGGGTTCTTCTACTCAGAAGGCAGTAGGTGATCATGCTGGAAGTCACATGATCAAGGCTGCATCTCCCATCATCCCTCTGGGCAGTGATATGGGATAGTGGGTCTCTTTGAGGACTTTCAAGCCTGGGGGGGGATGGACAACATATGATTCCTAGAAAAAGGAGGAAAACAACACATAAGCAAAACAAAACAATGAGCAAAATCCAAGCTAGGAAAATGAGTCAGGCATGTAAACAGCATGGTGCCAAAATGATTAAAAAAATAAATAAAAAAGGGGAAAGGGCAGGTGGGGAGGAGGGAGAGAGGGAGGAAGGGGTGGGGGGGCAGGGAGGGGACATGCTACAGAAGGAATGAAAAGAAAAGAAAAAAGGAAAAAAATAAACATCAACAACCCCATGAGCTACACCTTGCATTACAGAAGGTCTTCAAAGAGACGGTTGCGGGTGCAGCAACGGTCTGGCTTAAGTTCTGCAAACCAAGCTCGGCAGAAACGGGGCAAAGCTGCATCGTTTACCGTCCGCTACCAAAGAGGAGAGGCGACAGAACCAGCGGCACTTACATTGCTGGCTGGGGTCCATGTCCGTGGTCAGCTTCACGTAGTTGGAGGGGAACAGCCCCACCTGTCCGTTGGCCTCCCCTTTCCACCAGTCGGGGTCCTCCCTGTTGAGGACGTTGATGAGCTGCCCCTTGCTGAAGGCCAGCTCGTCGTCGTTCTGCGCGGCGTAGTCATACACCCCGATCACCTGGCACACTGCGGGGAGAGGGAGGGTGAGCGCCGGCCAGCGCCGGGCAGCAGGCGCGCTGGCGGGCTGTGCAGGGAGGGTCTCCGCGGGGGAAGGGGGCGGCTTCGGGACCAAGGCCAGCCCCGCTCTGCTCTGCTCTTCATCCCCCCGCCGCGGGCTCAGTGTGTCAGCGGGAAGCAGCAACGGGCAGGCTGCTCTGGACGGACGGCTTCCAGCTGGACCCGAGGGACGGCAAAGGCCCAGTGCCACAGGACACGACGCACCTTGGGACCCCCAAGTCAGAACGGCCCCTTTTTCCAAAGATGGAAGATAATTTTTATCTGTGTCCCCAAATTCCAGATCTCAGAGAAAGGTAAAATCAGAATCTTACTTTGCTGGATCTTTGTGTCTCAAGTTTTTATCTCAAAGAAAGAAATTTCCCGTCAAAACAAATTTTCTTTTCCCACTCTCCCTCCAACCTACAAAGTTAGCGTTCTCGTTTCCTGGCAAGTCTACGTTCCAGGTACGTCTGCACGGTCAGCTGTCTTCTCTAACCAACCAACGTATTAGATCTGAACCTTTCAAACTCTCCGGCAAAATCAACCACTTCAGCAAACGATTGCTGGGCCGGGGTGGGGCGGGGTCTCAACCAACCTGCTGAAAGAGCTGGACTCTGCTCACAAAGGCCCCCCCGCCAAGCCCCCCCAAGGACAGTAGACCCAGCCGGCGCCCTCCCGATGCCCACGCACGGCAGAGGCCCAGCTGGGGCCGGGAATCAGCCACAGTCTGCCAATCCCTTCATGTCTTGCGAGGGCTGCCAAGTTTTGACCTTCCTTCACTGGGGAGGCACAGCCCAGATGTTTGACCCGGAAGTCCTGGAAGGCAAAGTCTGCATTTTCCACAAATGCCACCCAAGAATGGGGGCCTGGAGACTGAAACAGAAGTCTCCTCCCCTCCCCTCCCCTCCCCCAGCTCGGATGTTTGGTCTGTCCAGTCAGGACAAGGCCCTCAGGCCCAGCTGCGGGCCTGGGCCCTGCAGCCTGTCTCGGAGGGTGGGCAGCATCCTGCCCCTCAGCAAAGCCCTCTGTCCCCTGGGCCAGGGGGAGTTATTTCAGTCTCCGGGGAGCCACCCGTGACAAACAGCCCCCCTGGCCACCGGCTCCTGACCTAGTGAAACCCTGGCCATTTATTTTTAGGGATCCCTTTTTGTCCCCTTGCCCCCAGCCCAAACCCCAATTTAAATAGCTGGAAGGAAATCAAGAGAAACCTCCGACTTTAAGGCCGCGGCATTCTTGAGTCCTTTATGAGGAGCGGTCAACAAGGGCCCTGTTGTGCCCGGCCGGGCGAGGCGGCCCAGCTACAGGCCTTTCTGAAAACCGACTTCCACCCCCCGGGGCGGGGGGTCCATGCCAGCAAGGGCGAGGGCAGCTCTCGCCGAATGTGGAAGTCCGCCTGCAGGTCTTCAGGAGGGGACCAGTGGAAAGACCCAAGTGCCCGCAGGCCGCTCCCGAGTGCAGACCGGGCACCTACCTGCTGGGAACGCCGCGGACTTGGCCGGCTCCGTCGGAGTGACTTTGCTCGTCCCAGGGCTTAGAAGCTTTACGTAATTAGCCGGGAACCAGCCTATCTGGCGCTTTTTCCCACGTGCCTGGTAAGGAAATAATCATATCAAGATGTTTACAAGGCCCATGTTCTCACAGGCTACAACTCAGGTCATCACAGGGCACCCATGGAGTCACGCGCGGCGGCGAAGCAAACGGCCTCGCCGCAGGCTCGGGGTCGATAAGGCAACAGTGGCAGCGCTGGCAACGCGATGACCAACGCTTACTGCCAGCTACGCCAGGCCCTGTGCTCAGCGCACACGCGCATTTGCAGCACCTGTCCAAAAAGACAACCCTAGCAGGGTTCCCGCTCCCCAGGTGCAGAAAGTGAGGCTGAAGAGAGTCAACGGCCAGGCCCGAGCCTGGCCAGTGAGCGGCCAGCCGAGATTCACGCTCATGTCTGCGCTGCCCTGGTAACAGTCTGAGAACAGGAGGCCAAAGTGACAGTGTCCCCCCGAACCAAAGGGCCTATGGGACGGTGACTGCCACATGTTCCTTCAGCCCCTCGCCTTCACTTCCGCCCACTCTGAAACAAGACTACACGCCAGTCTCGCTGGCCATCGATCATGCGCACACGGAGGAACCTGAAGCCGCAGTCGAGACGGACACCCGTGGCACAGTCCACGGGACGGGAGAGGCTGCGCCGGGGGTCACGAGAAGGCGTGGCCGACCGGCATGGCACAGCAACAGAGAACCTGGGGGAACTCATGCGTATGTGTGCTCACACACAAGCCCGCACAACCTCTAGAAGCCCGGCTCTGATAAAAACAACTGCTTTTAGTGGCAGGTTGGGAAGAGGCATCTGCACCCCCTTGTAACTTGGATGTTAAGCTACGGGCAGCATCACGTACCCTAAAAGCATAAACAAAACATCAGCTACTCCGAAAGGAATGAAACTGAGGAAGCTCATGCCACCTGCCTCTGGCCTCCTGGCAGCCGTCTGCCCAGCAGGCCGCACGGGTGACTGCAGCTTCAGACCCCCTGTCACTCTCCTTTGGCCTGGCAGACTTCACAGCCTTGGCTCAAGGTCTGAAGCTTTTATTTCCACAGTGAATTCACCAGTGACTGTAGCCACCCATTCACAAGCCCTCGGTGTTCATCTAGACTGTTCGCCAGCCCCTGCCCTTTCTGCACACCAAGCGCAGGGCAACCTCAGCTACAGTGAGAAAAACTGCCCCGCTCGGAAGCTCTCCCAGGCTCGCGCGCGAGCACCCACACTCCCGCGGGCGGCAGGAACCGCTCACGGCTCTTCAGAGCAGAAACGAGGGGAGGGCTGCCGGGCAGCAGGGGTGACCACGCGGAGTCAGATGAGCGAGGGCTAAGCAGCCACCCCCAGTCATCAGCCCAAATCCAGAGGCGGCGCAGGGTTTGTCCGCCCCGGGGGAGGGGTGCTGACTGCCTTTCTGGACACATTTTCTGAGAAGAGCAGGAGAGGCAGGAGGGGCTGGGCACTGCTGGTTTTCAGGAGCGCAGTCGCCAGGTGAGCTGCGGCGAGGCTGTCGCTGGCCAGAGCAGGCTTGCAGAGGGCGGCCGAGGGGAGGCTGGCGGGGCGGCGGGCGCCCGGCTGCACACCAAGCAGGGGGGCAGCTCAGTTCTCGGAGGCAGGGACCTGCCCCCCACGGTGAGGGGACAGACACATCCCCAGGGCAGCGGGTCCCGCACGCAGGGTGGGCACCGGCTGCTCAGTGCTGCCGTGGCCTGGCGGCACCAGGAGCTCCGGCCCCGCCCCGTGCCTTCCCCGCCAGCCAGTCCCGCTCCTTCGCCCACACGCGCCGCCTGGCTCCTTGCTCCTGAGCAGGTTCCCGTCTGCACCTAAAGGGGCTGAGCTGCTCCAGCTTGCCCGCAGGTCTGCCGACCCCTGGAGCAAGGCCGGGCTCCGCAGGGGGCTGCGCGTGGCCCGCACGCAGACGCGGCTCTGGGCACAAGCCGGCCGTGCCTGCGCCAGCCTCTCGAAGCCCCTGACAGACAGCGCCGCTCCCACCACACGCGTGGAGACGAGGCGCCCGAGCGGCCGCCCACGCACTCAGGCTGGCCTGCAGAGGGCTCCCGGCGCCCAGAGCCTGCTGCCGCTGCCTGAAGCTCAGGGGCACCCAGGCTCAGACCCGGCGGCCTCCCGCGCTTTCCGATGGGAAAAACAAAACAAACGGGCCCTCTGAGATTTTTGCAGATTTAACCAGGACACAGGCTTTTCAACAAACGAAGAAGACACTAACTTGCAGCTCTCCTTCCCACCATCCACCTGGGTTCTTTTTTCGGATCAAGATCAGCTGGCCGGGGGCCAGGGTCAGCTGCTCAGGGCCGGTGGCGGTGTAGGAGGCAATGACCTGCGCGATTTCTGAAAAACAAGAGCAAACATCACGGCGTGGTCACAGTCGGGAGGCGGCAGCGCCCAGGAGCCTCCCTGGCTCACGATGGACACCCCAGGGTGGGTGGGCTGGCTGGGTCTCCGGGCCCGGCTGACCTCAGGGTGCCGCCCAGCCTGCTTAAGGGCACCCTCCCCTCTCAGAACGCACCTACTTACCAGCTTCCCCCACACGCGCTCTCCACCCTGGCCACAGCCCCACTACAAAGACTGTGAACACCCGATGCCCAGAGCCGGCCCCCACTGCCCACCCAGCAAGGTGCTGGCCACACGGCAGCACTCAGCGCCGTTACAGGAAAGGCGGGGCCCGGTGCGGCTTCCCGCCCGCCCAAGTGCAGCGAGGAGAAACCCTGCCCCCGGCGAAGGTGCCGCCGCCAGTGCCGCTGCCAGCCCGCCGGCTCACAACCCGACGATGACGCGTGAATTCGGGGTAGAAGTCAGATGGTGCGCGTTTGCTTCTTTTATTTCAGATTAGAGGAGGAAACTGGAGTTAAGAAGGGAACTTTACACAAAAACAACAACGAGCCATCCAGCACAGGGAAAGATGTAAACAGTTCTGTACTTTTCCCGAATGTTAAAAATCTCATGGGAAAATACCAGCCGTACCACGGACCAGGGCATTCCCACTGGCACCGGGGTCACGTGTGAAGAGACAAAACCCTTCTCTGCCCACCGTGACCTGTCCGCAGTGGCTGCTTCTGAGCTTCCAGGAGCAAAACAGAGCAAACTGTCCTACACACTCCCTCCCCGTCATCGTGGGTTTTGAAAGAACGAGAGGATGAAAATTAGGATTTCAGGGAGGGAGGAAGCAGGAGGGGGAAAGGCAGAAGCCGCTGCTTCTGACAGCGTTTCCTGCCTCTCCGGAGGCTACCAGCGCCCCTCACCCTGCTCTGGCCCAGCGGCGCCCAGCGAGGCCGCCACATGCCCCACAGGCAGCGGCAGCAAGGAAGAATCCAGCCCCCCACGCCGCGGCCTGCCCCGCAGCGCCAGCACACTGAGGACGCCGTCCAGCTTCCAAGAGCTTCCGTGTGGAGAAACAAAGTCCAAAGCAGTGTCTGACTCGGGCTTCCACGTTCCCGCTCCTCGGGGCACCGCACCCCTGGCCAATGACCCACCCGGGGCTTCTTTTCTGCCTTTTGTGCTTCTGAGCTGCTTGGTGGTTTTTCACTCAAGTCACTTGTGCCCTTCCGATGACGGCTCAAAACGCCAAGTGCTCCCAGTTCAGCAGAGACCTCACCCAGACGATGCGCCTAGAGTCTGACTAAAGTCCCACACCAACAGTTACAGCAATTCCCAGGAAACCTGTTTCCCCGCGGCAGGCCGGGGGAGGAAGCGCCACAGAGACACACCCCTCGCGCGGCGGCGACTTCTCCCAAGCTGTGGCCACCATGGAGCAGGCGGGCGCCAAGCCACCATACCACTTCCCATCTCCTTTCTTCTTTCAGGCTGCGATTACAGAGCACTTGGCTTTGTTTAAATGAACTAAGACACTCCGAACTCAGAGGGATGACTATCGTCACCCGAGGAAAAGCAGCCAAAGGCGTTTATATTGCTAGGGTCCCGCGCTGGGAAGGGCTGTTGCTCCTGCATTTCCACCACTCCTGTCCCGAACAGAATGTGCTGTCTGGGCGTCCTGAGCCTGATGAGGCCGCTGGCGCCTAAGCTGCCAGCTCCAGGCCTTAGTGCCCGGCACCCTGCCTGAACTGCCTCCTTACCACCAAAGCATTTTGCCTGGTCATGTCTCACTCCCGGTGGTGAGTGACAGTCAGGTTTCATCACCGGGCACACGTCAGAGTGGACCCGAGGAAAGCTCTCCTCCAGCCACTCTTAGCAAAGGCTTGTCTGCTGTTTTTCTTGTTTTTAGGCTTCAGGCCTTCATAAACAAAGATTGGGAGCATCTAGCAATTACATTCAAAACATTGAAAAAATAAGCATCAGGGTTTGTAACTTACCAGGTTTTTTTCCTAAACTCCCTGTTTTCCCAGCAGTTCCAGAGCCCTTAAAACAGAGCAAAAGGTCTCATTTGCACACTGCAGAGTTTTGGTCATGCAACTTACAAAATGATCAATGATGATGCAAACCCACTGGAGCCCCTACAGCCCCCTTCTCGTTCTGGGAGAACAGTCACACCGCATCCCTTGGCATGAGGGTATCGAGCAGGAAAACGAGGGACAAGTACGTACTGAACACCTGTGGCTCGGCCTCTCTGCTATGGAGGCAAAGCAGCCACACACATGGCGCTGTAGGGCCCAGCAGACCCCAGTCAAATCAAGCTCGGTGTTCCCTGGGACAAATGTCTCTGTCCTAAACACTAAGCTGAGCCTCATGTCCATGGTTCATTATGGGGTGACTCACATGCAAAAAAAGTCCACACTGTACCCAGAGGTTTTGATACAGTAAAACAGCAATATTTTTCTGCATTGGCTTTGGTGCTTTTATTCTTTCTAGAGACTGCTATAGTTCAGTGGCAACTCAAGCACCCACCCCCATCCCACCACTCGCCACCTGAACTGTGCGCTTCACGGCAATGGCGTAATCCACCTAGGCAGGAAGACCCCCCACAAGAGCAGACCATACTTCCCCCAACATGAGGAGCCCGCAGGGCCCCTGGGCTGAATTCCTCCTGTGGACACTCATGGAATTGTAAACCAGCTGGCAAATCAACAGAGACCTTGAGTCAGGACCAGGGCCAGACCCATCTGCTGTTACAAAGCACTTTCTTTTAAATTGATTTTCATCCATGAGTCCCCATCATGCCGTCAATTAAGCATTCCAGTGAAAACAAAACAAAAAGCTTAATGAACTAAATGAGAGTGCTGCATGAATACAAACATGTAATTTATCTACCAGGAACACAACTTATCAGGGTTCTTTTATTTTAGTTACTGAAACTTAATCACCATTTATCAGGGAAGGTTTGAGCTGAAACTTTGACCCTGAACATGATTTCTGTATTATACAAACAGCTGCTCAATACAAATCTTGTTATTTTTAAAGGCTGTGTATCAAAATAAAAGAATACCAACGAGAGAAGATTCCAGCTGATCTGTGACTCTCCCAGCACAAGCTGGGGACACACTTCCTGTATGCCACGAAAAGGACAGAGCAACTGGGAGTCCAGGAGTGGGCAAAGGCCACAGCCGGCCCTGCTGGCTGAGGCCTCCCGGGAAGACGGGCCTGGCCCTGCCGCTCCCAGAAATGCAGCAGCAAAGCCCCTGCTGAGAGCCAGCCCTCCCCCCACAGAAGGCTTGCGCACTGGCCCACTCTCCAAGCCGCCGACATGTCTGCGCTAGGCCTATCAGTTTCACAGGGTATCTTCCCTGATTCCCATGCCCAAGTAGGAGGAAGGAGGTGACTTTCATTTCTTCATTATTATGAAACAATGAGCTGAATGTTTGCCCCAAAGCTTTAGCACTGCGAGCTCTGTGGCTAATAATTTAAGACTGTGGTGCAGAAATCGCCTTACGACACAGTTCAACTTCACAAAAAATGTGAAGGACTTGCGCACAGTAGCAAACACTAAGTGCAGCTCTCCCCTCACCCCCCAGAAATACCACCTGCGTGGCTCATCAGGCTCCCATTGACAGGAGCTTGGTTTCCCTCCCCAGGTCTGCAGAGATCTACCCAGGGCAAAGGACTTTCTCCCAGGCCAAATGCCCATGGCAGGCAGGCAGACTTACAGCAAATCCCCCTGGCGTCTCTGGAGAGCTGCTCCCCAGACCAGCAAGGAAAAAGAAAAGCCCCCACCCAAAATGACACTTGCTGGATAAACAACCCCATCAAATGCAGCAGCCCCTGGGCAGGGCAGGACGGGGAGCACCGAGGGGAGCAGCCGGGGGCGGGGGGGTACCGGGAACTCCAGCACCAGCCAGCACACCACAGAAAGTGTGGCAGCATGGCCCAGCCTGACCCGCGGAGAAGCCCAACATCCTCCGCCCAACATTTAAAGGTGGGCACGTGAGAGTTGTCCACCTGACCACATCAGAGGGAGTGGCCTCCTTGGGTGCATGGTACCCAAGGGCTTCTCTCTGCATGAAGTATGAGGGTAAAGACAGTAACTGGAATCTATTCCCTATGCTTTATACAAAAAAAAAAAAAAAAAAAAAAGCCAACTCCTATTGGGAGTTATTTACATGCAATGTTAAATGATTACATTACACCCTGGACTTCCCCACCACCTTGAAATTGGCTAGGGCCATATTTGGGCCCACCCTGCCCCCCTTTTATTGACTTTGCAGATGATAGTTTAGTCCCCATTTATTATAATGAGGTCATCTCGGCTTATACAGATAATAGCATTCAGGGTCCATTTAGTCCCTGGGCAACAGAGCTTCTAAGGCCTGTCAAAATGTGCTCTGCCTCTTCGAGTCTTCCTACGATGTTGGCAAAAATAAATTTTCAAAACACTCTGCTACCTGATCGCAGAAACCAGTACTATCAAAACACTTCTGTTAACATGGGCAAAATCTTGCTCTGGTTCTATCATGGGGTCTCTCAAATCAGCGACCATGAGGACCAGATCAAGGAAGTTTATTCTGAACCCCAAGTCATTCAGTGCAGGGGGCCTCCACCTCCCCAGGAGGAGCCTGGGCTCCCCTGCAGCACCGAATGACAAGTGCAGACAATTACAGGTCACACTACATCCGCTGTCACATTCGGAACTTAGCGAAACCCAATAACATGTTCCACCTTCAGACAGTGCGACTCCCCACAGAGGGACTCACTGGACAAAGAGGGAAAGGAGACAGTTAATGTGGGTTTACCTCTGAATCTTTAAGCCTCACATAGTTAGAAGGGAAGACTCCGGACTTGTCGCCCACCGTTCCTGTCCACCAGTCACCATCTTTCTTGGTAACCAAAATCACATCCCCTTGCTGAAAGGTTAAATCGCCTTGCTCAGAACTCTCGTAAGTGTACATGGCAATAAACTCTGGTGGGGAGAAATATTGAGATACGGAGAGAGCTTGATTGTTTACAGAAATCCCAGACAGCTTTTTGCAAAAGCAAATTTATGAATAAGGAAGTTAGGATCAGATCTGTTTGAGAGAAAGGCTAGTCACAATAAAACACAGGGTTGGGGAACAGCTGGGCTCCAAATTCCCCAGCTGCACATAAAATGCAGTTGCTACAGGCAGGGACACCATTACTGGGAAGGCCAGGCATCGGAACGGACCCCAACACTGAACACCGGCAGACACCGTTGATTCACCTCAAGGCTTCCTTCTTAAATGAAAATGGCCTTGACGCTAACTTTTAATTCCACTACTGAGAAGCGATGGCAGGGTGAGCTCTGGGTAGATGCAGATACTCTTACACACAGGCTCTTGGTGCAAGTCAGGTACCTGTGTCAGTGCTTGTCAGAGAGCACCAACTTGCAGCTTTAGGAACTCAGCTCTAGTAAGCTGCTGCCATTAAGGAAGCTGTATTCCTCACGACTCAAGTGCCTGGCTGCAAGCGCATGTCCCATTGCGCCACATGCACAGATGGCAGGAAGTTACTAGAACACCAAACAAGATGTAAGTTCTTTGGCTGAAAGAAGGCATCTCCTTGTCATTCGAGGGCACGAGCGGGTAGAGTGGACTGTGGAGGAAGGCAGAGCCCAGCCACCCCAAAAAATGACCGTGCCTTTCTCAACAAGTCGAGGTGACAATCAGTTTCCCATGTTTCTCATGCAATTGGGTCTCATGCAAAGGATAAGAAGTGATGTTCTTTGCTGTCTTGCATGTACATTCCAGAGGAAATCTTTCTTTCTCATTATCAGCAGCTGTTTCTACTAAGGCTTAGAACCAAGCCATACTCTCAGCAAGCTCACTTGACATTGGGATAAAAGATGACCTTAAAGATGAACTAAGTTTCTTATTTGCACTTTTCCTCCACTTTATCCTAAGGTTTTTATAGGGCTTTTTAAAAGCAATTTATTACAAATCACCACTGACCTGAAAAGTTCATTTTTATGTGTGTATCAGAGAGTAATCTTTCCATGAGAAGTCTAATGTTAGTTAGTGGGCTGAAATGTAGGTGGGAGAGATCCTTTGGTTAATTACAGGAGTCTCTGCAGGAGGCCTAAGAAAATCTAAAATAAACACACACACACACACACACACCACCCACCAATACTCATGCGAACGTGGGCAACACTACAATGTGGGGGACTCCTTGTGTGGCTGTGCGGCCTTTGGGGGTGCTGACCTACAGGCTGAGGCCACTGTGACTACCCGCAGGGACAGTGCTGGAGCCCACAGCAGACAGTGTGAGCCACGGGCCAGGGGGACAGACGCCTCTGTGCCTCTCCGTGGCGCCGTAGCACACACCTCTGCGGTGGAAACTGGAAACTGCGTCCCCGCACAAGGAAAGCAGAGCTGGCCTTCGTCAGTATAGCCTTTCCGATTCCCCAGTCTTCGGCCCCTTCCCTCTTCAGTTCCCAAGCTCATGTTTGGCCATCTGAGATAGGATCCTTGGCAATTCAAACTTTCCCCAAGATTTCCTACACTTTAAAGCTGCTTTCTTTAAAATGAATCCAAATTTCGAACTAACTTTCAAAATACTTAAGAAACTTCAGAAGCATGAACTCTGGCTGAACTTATATCTGCTGAATAAGATCACAAGGGGACTGGAAAGGCTGCAACTGACTTGTCCTGCCAGACACAGCTCGGTGAGGGCAGCTCAGGGTCCAGTGACTCCCAGAGATGTCTGGGAGGGTGAGTACAGGGGGCCCCCACCCTGCAGGCCCCCTTCATGGGACATTTAACACAGGTGCTGTTTGGACCCAAGCTCAAGTTTGAAGAGCTGCCTAATCTATTTAACCTTTAATTTCACTTATGGCCTATTTTTAACCTTGAGTGTGCCTAACATGGTATTAATAAGCAGTTCAATAGCTGTCAACAGCTTTTCTCAGAATCCAAATGCCAATGTCCTCCCACAGTGCTTGGGAAAGCCAGCCATCTCTCTTAATACTTCCAATACTGAATCCTTTCAAAATGGATGGAATAAAATTCAACCAAGACTACAATTTAGCTCTCTTTTGTGGTCCAGCTTTAAGGATGTGGGGGGGTCACCTGCGATCTTTCTCTGGGACCTCAAATATTGAGGCCTCTGTACATATTTCAAAATAATCAATGCTCATCAGCCCTGCTGTCAGAAGAGACTACTCACTGCTTCAGCCTCCGTCAATAACCATGAGACGAGGCAAAGGGGAAGTAAGAGGAGCAGATCTATACACACAGACACACACACACAGACACCTACATACACAGACACCTGCACAAACATCTACACACACACACATACACACCTACACACAGACATCTACACACACACAGACACCTACACACAGACACACACACAGCCACCTACACACAGACACACACGCAGCCACCTACACACAGACACACATACACCTACCAATTGATTGAACTGCATTTGGGTGGGGGAGCTCATAATTTGCCTGGTGGGACAGAATGCAGGTGCTTTTGCCTTGTTTTCCTAGCAGAGGGTACAAAAGTCATTAAGAAAACCAGAAAGTAAGAAGATAGCTAAGTTAAGGATTGGCTGGGTGCAAGGGGCGGTGAGAGCAAACCCTGGATGCAATAAAATGCTGGTTTAGTGAGGACAAAGTTTTAGAGCTATACCCATAAACTAAAAATTTTTTTTTGCTTCTAAAACTCCTCTTGAAAAAGTTAACTTTGTGAGTCTGAAACTCCATTAAATCTTAATCCTTGCTGTCTCCATGCAAGGATGACTGTTCTAATGTTTCTTTCTTGGGAGGCAAGGTTTCTTAAGAATGCAGCCATCTCATAATGGCATACAAAGTAAATAAAACATTCTCTGCTCACATCCTTTCTTCAAGGAACCCACGAAAACTTACTACATAATTGGGTGGCCATCTGTTAGCTACCAACCCTGGGAGACTTCTCCAGCAGAGCCTGTCTGCCTCTGGCAGTGGTCTGCTCCTAGTGCTATAAAGACCACAGTGAATGGAGAACAGGCAGAGTCCCACCACTGGAGCAGGAATGGTGAGGTTTGTTCATGTTTAAATCCACACCACATATCAGCATATGTAGTCGTTGGGATCATGACACAAAGTCAAGTCTGGGAAATAAAGCAATGAACTGTGCCACTCACACTCTGAAATCTGTAGGCCTAAGTAATCTTCCTGGGGTATTTACTGGGAACACAGGGACTGAGCTTCTGCTTCCCTTGGGCATGCAGATGGCACTGAGGCTGTGACAGCTTTTCGAGACTGCGTGGTCATGGTTGAAAGCAAACACTTATCTACAACGCAGAGGACAGGCGAAGGCAGGGCAAGCACTGTCCGCACTTGGCTGCACAGATGCTCAGAACACTGGGCCCGTGACGGCAACGGGCCTCTTTCAACAGTCAAACAGCACATAATCAAATACTGGAAAATTCCATTTTTATAGTCACTCTATGTGACAGTATTTTGAAAGTCTCTTCAAAGAACTTTGAATTTGTAAAGAGCGTGATTTTCTTTTTACCTGCCAGTCTAGTATCCTGAAGCTAAATTGATGCAGTGGCTTTTAAAACGAGATCTGACCTGGGTCCAACATTCACTCTGCCTGGCCTACCCAAGCCCGTCCCGTGGAAAGCACAGAGTTTGACTCCGGGTCTCACCTTCTCCTGAAACGGCCGGCTTGCCTGCTGGGGAAGCTACTCTCTTTACACTAGCAGGACTTTCTGAGGAGCCAGAATCCATGCTGAAAGAAAGGGTAGGAGAGGAAGTATTTTAATTTTTATCGAAAATAGTACAGATGACATTGATTTTTCACTTTTAAAGCGGTTTAACATTTAAAATTTTAAACACTCTTACAGCTGAAATAGCTGCCCTGGGCTAAGCTGAAACACACAGTAAGGCGTGAGAAGGGTGATTCTAAGCTCACATTTCTGTTTTCGGACCCTGCCATGCTGGGTACACGGCCGGTGGGCTGATCTGTCTCAAAGCGTGGCTGACAGAAGCTCCCTGATGTCCTTGCTGTTTGTACCTTCGTAAGGTTCCTATGTGTTTCGAACACATGGGGTAATTAAACAACCACCTTGTTAAGGTGCTGTGCTACAGCAGTCCCTAATGAAAAAGAGAATTCATTCTTCTGATTGTTTCCCCAGTTGCTCTGGGTTTCTAAATTCCTGGCACAGAACTGGAGACGTAGCATGAAGAGAGGCTTCATCTCCAACAAACGCACAGCGGGTCCCAGGCCTCAAGTGGGAATTCCCTCTTGAAAAGTCACTGAAAAAAATACACCGAGACTTCCACAAGGGGAGAACAAAATGACCCTTTATCTGTAAGTGTTAAGTGGCTCCCTTCTTGCTGACCTGCTACACTAAATTCTGCAGACAACAGAATCCTGCAGCTCCTGTCAGTGAATCTTAACTAGAGCAAATACTAATTTCATGCGTAACAGCATTCTCATCTCATAGAAGCAGATAAATGCAAAAATACCTGGTCGATTTCCTTATGGGCCCTGAAATGAGTTTCACGTAAGACTTGGGGAACCAACCCTTCTGACCTTGAACTTCTCCAAACCACCACATGTCTTGCTGTTCCAGCACGGTGATGACATCGTTTTTGTTAAAATTTAAATGGTTGTCTTTTTTGGCTCTCCAGGGATACAGGGCTTGTGCTTGCAGCCCCTCCACCTTCTCGCCCTTGTGGGGAACAACACAAAGGACCTCTCATTACTTTGAGGGGCGCAACAGGGTCGCCCTCGCCAACACGCACACGCGCGCGCTGCTTCAGCAGGGGCCTGGGTGCTCTGCTGTTTCTCTGCAACAGTTCACAGTTGACCCTTGAGCCACAGGGAGGTGAGAGGCCCCAGCCCCAAGCCGTGACAACCCACGTCCAACCTTTGCTTCTGTTAACTGCTGACAGGCTGCTGGTGAAAGGAAGCCTGGCTGCTGGGTTGTTTACCCTCCGTCCGCTGCAGATGCCACCACCTACACCCTCACAGTAGCAGCGTGAGTTCTGATAAGTTTTAGCTTTTTATAACAAAGGTGTGTTGTGTTTTCTTTTTTGTAAGATTTATTCATTTATGCATATAGAACTGGGGTAGAGGCCAGAGGTGCAGGGAGGGGGGGCAGTGAGAGGACTCACCAGGGACAGAGAGGGGAGCAGAACAGGCAGGTCAATGAAGTACACTGCGGAGGGGAGCAGCAGGGAGACAGGAGAGGTCTGCCGCGCCCTGTGGGTCACCCCTGGGGCCGGGGATCAAACTCACGATGAAGCGGCTGTGGCCAGCTTGCAGGGCTGCGGCCTAACCCGTTGCACCACAAAGTGGGGCCCATAGAGGTGTGGTTTTTAAGGTAGTAAAAGATAAAATAGATTTAGCTGCATGCATTTTATGCATTCTGGACAATAGTAGCTTTTAATTTGGGGGTTATTTCTAGGTCATGCAAGTGTTTTAAGTGTTTTCAAAGTGTTACCAATCTCAAAAGGAACTTCCGGTGTATTTACTGACAAATACTGCCGTTGAGAGGACCCGTGTGCCTCAAGCCCGTGCTGCCGAAGGGTTAGGGGTACTTCCTCAGGCGGAGGTGTAAACCTGCCGGCCAAGCACAGGGCCGCCCAGAACTCCCCACAGAAACCAGCCAGGAGGCCACAGACTGCAGCAGGTGGCTCCTTCAGTGCCAAGTCACCCAGCTCCACTGCCTGCTTCCATCTGACCCGGAAGCTCAGAGGAAGAGTGATACTGGAGCAGAAATCTGAAGACACCTGGAGGACACAGGACCGGCCGTGGTCTGTGTGCGGCTCCTGAAAAAGACAGGCTTAGCAGGTACCACTGACTGGACCTCTATGTGCAAGGCACCGGGATCATGACAGATGAAGAAAATTCCATCTCTATCTCCCCAAAATCATTTGGATGAGACATTTTATTATTCACCATAAAGCATTATAAAATGCAACCATCTGATGTTAGCAGCAAAGATCACAACTCATGGAGAAGAAAGAGATCCAGACAGCCACGGCAACCACCCAGCAAAATGAAACAGACCAGAAAGAGATCCCCACCACGCGCCGCGGGGACAGAGAGACAGGAGGGGTCAGCTCTGCCCGAGGGTGACGGGTGATGGTGAGGGGTTAGCTGAGCGAAGGAGGCAGCATTTGGGTTGGGCCTTGCAGGACGAGGGAGGTTTTGGCAGCCAGGGCGTCGGCGGAAGGGCGCTCCAGGCCGAGGGCTCAGCTCGGGCCGAGGGTCCGGGAGGGGGAGCACAATCCAGGGGTGAGTGTGGCCTAGGCTCGTGAAGGGGTGTAGGAGGCATAGAGGCTGGAAAGGCAGGGAAAGCGTTGATTATTTTTCAGAAGCTGTAACGTAAAACCGCTCCTATGTCTTCAAACACTACCAAGAAGTACCGCAAATCAACTTTTGATCCCAGGTGTATGAGACAGGAGGTGGCTGGTGCCCCACACCGGTCCCTGGGCAGCTTGCAGCAGCCTCGAAGCGGCATTTGCAGCCCCACAGGGAACTGTGATGGCTCCTGACAAAAGGAGAACTGGGCAGGTGGAGCAGCTTCTCACCCACGTAATGACATCTGATCCCTGGCCGGGGACTCTCACCTTTGAGCCCACAGCACGGGCTGCTAGCCGCTGCTGCACATCCTGAGCCCGCAGAAGGTCTAGCCGCCCCCGCCAGCTCCCGCCCCCCGGGTGCGCCCCGCCTGTGCCTGCTCGCTCTCGGGGCTTCTGTGCTGCTGACCTCTTGGCTGGTCCATTTATTTTCCTACCAAGAGTGGACGCCAGGGTGAGAGGCTTCTCCTGTGCCCTCGCTGCTATCTCACACTCTCACCCTGAGAAATCCTGCCCATTCTTCCCACACGATGTGCTTGAATAGCCCAGCCTGGGCCAGTCAGAACATGGACTGCAGATTTGAATCTCAAGTGTGTCACCTGCTAATTCTGGGACCTTGGGCAGTTGGTGAACCTCTCTAGGCCTCGGTTTCCACATCCATAAAGTGGGCTTTCCTCAGAGCTGCTCGAAAGTGCAGTCCGCTCTACCTCAGTGCTGCTTGACACAGAGGGTGGGGTGGCTCAGAGCGCGTCGCCTCTGGAGCCGGGCTGAGTACCCTGAGGAAAGCTAAGATGGGGTGCAAGGCCCACCGCGGACTCGGGTGAAACTCAGTGAGCAGTTCTCGTGCTTCTGGAGGTCTGGAGGGATTCCTACTGGCCTGCTGCACAGGCCTGAGGATGGTGCTCAGAACCCAGCTGTCCACCTTTATCCTGCTCCAAACTATTCACGCCGCCACTCCCAGAGGAAGCCCGCTTCTCCTCTGAGCTGTGAGGCTTCCCTGACGCTAAGGCTGCTCTCAGACACTTGGTTTCTTACTTCTTTCCTACTCCCCCTCTCCCCCCCTTCACTGCTTCTCTTCTTTCAGGCATCCTTCTTTCTGCTTCCTCACTAATCCCTTCCTCTTCCCCCCAGTCAACTGCTCTATCCTCTGGGTGTCTTGGCTCTGCACCTCCCCAACCCCCAGGAGCATTGCCACACCTTTCTGGGCCCAGCAGGACTGCAGAGCCAGGACATGCCAGGTGGGAGCTCCCCCAGGCCAGCCAGCAGAAGGGGCGTTTCTTCTGCTTCCAGGTCACAGGTCACAGGATGCTCATGCCCTGCGTCTCCAGTTCCTCTGCACACTCTCTCCCTCCTGGGGATGTGCCCCTTAGGGTCCACCTGCTTAAAAGCCACAGCCCAGGCTCTCCCTGGTGGCTCAGAGGGTTAAAGCACTGCACAATGAAGCTCTCCAAAGCCACTGCAGCACGAGTTCAATACCAGGCCAGGGAGGTGACCCACATGGCACACAGATCTCTCCTGATCTGCCCACTGCTCCCCTCAGCAGTGTATTTCAGTGGATCTGCTTCTTTTGCTCCCCACTCTCTCTGGTGAGTCCTTTTCACCCACCACTCCCCTGGCCTGTACCCCAGTTCTGTAAGAATAGATAAAAAAAAAAAAAAAAAAAAAGCAAAGCCAAAACCTCGCTCCCAAGTGAAATCCGTTTCTCCCCCTGCTTATTTCTCCTTCAGGTCAGCTCTAGTCAGCCCTGCCCTGTGGCCTTTCTTCTGCTCTCTCAGGGCCTGAGACCCTGCCCCTGACTGGCACCCCCGCAGTGCTCCTGGAATCTGGCTGCACACAAGCCAACCCAGCTGGCCTGGCCCCAGGCTACCAGGTGGGCATCAGCCCACGGTTTGATTGATAATAGAAACTTCATCCCCTTATCTTTACTGTAGTAAATAAAAACGGAAACTTTCAGAATAACCACCTCTGTCCTTCCAGGAGAGACGCACTCTGAGCGGGCATGGAGGAGCTCCCAGTCACCTGCAATCAGTCTATCTCTGCCTACGCGTGCTCAGCTGACACAAGCTATGCAACCTCTATCGACTGACATATTCCTGATTGAGACAGAAGTGCTCTGAAATATCAGACTTTCTATGCTAATTTATGTTCTGACCTCCCTTTTTTGTATAATCGTAATATCAAAATATTCTAAACAACCTTCAGCTTACAATTGGATTGCCTCAGCCTGGCCTAGACAAGCAAGCACTGCATCAGGATGGGAAATTCCTCTTGAAGTCAAAAGTGATCTTACAATTGGCTGATTGATAAAAATAAATTGGCAGTTACTGCAAAGACAATATTGAGGCAAGACTGAAACACACTCTTTTACTGCCTGGAGGGAGGAAAACCCAAATCTTATCACTCTACTATCTCACAAAGTCTTCTATTTGTTTCTAAATAACCACTCAAACTTTCTACAATCTTGTCTTTAGATAGGAAAATTCACCCAAGTCGTCTATTCAGAGCTAATCAGGTTTTCTACCAGCTAGACTTCAAGGAAATTCACTTAAACTTTCTAACAAGTTTTTCAAAGAACTTTATTGTAATTTGATTTACAAGGAACTTCCTCTTCCTGTTCTCACTTTACCATGTAGGATGTCTCAATGAGAATGAAAGCCATTAAGTAGTAGATAAGGTTTAAGGGACTTTATTTTGGTGAATCTTCACTGTGGTAAATAATAGTAATATTAGTCTTAAACTTTATGAATCTATGGACCTGTTTTAACCTTGATAGATTGATTTTAAAAATGTTATAAACTCAACTAAAGGTCAAAACGACCCCAGACTATTCTTAGCAAAAAGGTGATTGTGATCTCAGCCCATTTCATATGCTAATGTCACCCCTCTGCCTGCCTGAAGAAGTGTATAAAATAAACCTCTGCTGAAGGCAAAGCAGGAAGACTTGCACCAAACTCCCATTCCCATGTCTTCCTTGTGCTCTCCCCCTTTTTCCCCCTTTTTCTAGGAATCTCCGCTCGCTGATGCCGCTCCTACCTTGAGACCCTGCCTGTTCAGCCCCTCAATAATCCGTGATCTAGGACAAAGCGAATAGTCGGGCGCACTGACCCCCGATTCTTCCCAGGCGCACTCTGATTTCCTGCCTCTCCCTGTAGCACTCGCCTGACCTGCCAGTCCCCTCCACTCCCTAAGGGCTGCCTTTCCCAAGGCTGCAGGTGCAGTTCAAATGCCACTTCTTCAGCAAAGCTGCCCAGACATGCCCCTCCCACCAGTGGACCCTCCTTGGGGCTTTCATGTGTACCCCTATTCGAGGCTCCTCAAAGATTACCGGGAAACATGAGTTGGATCCCACTCAACCTTGGATACAGACCCCGAGATTTATGTCTAAGACATGCCAACAGCGTCCGTTGCAT